CCCCAAAACCCCAAAACCCCAAAACCCCATATTGCTTTATTTATTCGCATTATGAAATTAATGATTTAATAATCAGATTTCATCTTTAAATTAGCATCTTGATTTCATACTTGGCCATCATAAAAATGATTCAAACTGTACTTGAATGGGCTGATTAGGATCTTTGTTGATCTTTTTGTCTAGAATTCTTGGCTATGTTAGACCATTTGCTGTATTTATTCTAGAAGCAGTATTTTTCTATCTATTTTTCTCTTAGGAGACTAATTGTTATCTTCCAGTACTCATTCCTCTCTTTTCGAAAAATCTTTGGCTAATGTTCATGCTATCTCTGTTTGAGTTCTAGTTATCAATATCAAAAGTGAAAGTAGTCATGTTCAGAGCTTTTTGCTGATTGAACTAAAGTTGAAGTTCATCTCTTTCCATTTAATCATTGTTAATTTTAGGACTTGAAGTGAAACTTTATAAAAATTACTGAACGTTTTGGGATCTTTCTATTGATGTATTAAGAATGGGGTTTTTCCGAAGTTGATATCCTTTATCATGTCTACTGCTTAATGTTTCAATATTTTTATATTTAGCCTCAGACATTATATCTGTCATTGATTGACTCTCCTGATTTGAAAGCTCAAATCCCTAGTTTCTTGTCTTCCCATCAGCGCCTTGAAACTTAAGAAACTCAACCATTTTCTGATCGCTAATAGTATTATTATGGTTGTATAGATTTGAATCACCTCCTCGTAGTAGTGAGTTGGTCTGATTCTTCTTTTAATCCTTGCCATATTTCTAGATTTCATTAATATATCTTGTAAGTTCTGGGTTAATTTTTTCTCTATTATTGGCTTAATTGCTGCTTACTCTGAGTTTCGCCTACTTTATTATACTACCTTAACTAGCAAAAGAAATGTTATTGAATTAATCCTCTATAGACGTAAGCTCTTTAAGCTGCTCCTCATCCATATTAACTTTGTTTTGTTTAATCTATTCTAGTAGCCATTCCTTAAAAGTAACTTTGCTATCCTTTTGAGAAATTATATTCTTGAAGTCATCAAAACTTTTAAAGACGTTCTGTGGAGAAATTATAGTATCTTATGATCTAATATCAAGATGCTACTATTTCTTTTTCCTTGTTTCATTTCCAGCTGCATTGAACATTCTACTTTGAATTCCATGACTACCAGCAAGACTTGATTATATCCCCCTTATATACTCTTTTATCTCTTTCATGAAAGAATCTCTAAATTCTAGTACTTTTTATTCGATTCCAGCTGATATCATATTTTAAACTTCTTCTTTATCAATTTAGTTTTCAGTCTAATCTTTAAGTTACTTAAGCAGCTTTAAATTATTTGGACCTTTTTTTTGGAATCCTGATTTTTAAGTCTAGTTTCCATCATTTTGCAATCCATCTTACTTAAAAGGTTTTCGAATTAAAGTTTGCTGTTTCCTTAATTAAGTTGGTATCTCTATACCACTGCTCTAATTAAAAGTTGTACTATTGATACCTTGATTTGCATCGTTCTGCTTATAAGTTATACTTTGAATATTATTTCGTTAGCTATTCAAATTAGCTTATTCGGTTTCATTATTTAAATTATCATTACTATTTAGTTATGGAGGCTATTATTGACTTTCATTAATTTCTGATTATCTTCTCACACTATTATGTCCAGTTTATTTGTTTTATTTAGCTAGAGTATTTTCTTATTTCGGTTACTAAGTCCTTTCATCCTTATTATCTTTATCTTGAGAAATAATTTAGTTTGCTTACTCACTCTTCTGCAATGGTTCTAGTTCTTTGTTTGATTATCTCTAAGTGTTATTTTTAGAAGTTTCATTATACTCAAACACTAAGTCCTCAACTTTTTTCTCAAGAGATACAAGCTTTTAAGTTAATTAAAAAACATCTCTTTTTAAGAATCTAGGATTTAAAAACTTAATCTAATCCTAGCATATTTTCATTTCATTTACTATCTTATTCTATGTCTCATCTTGTTCGGCTTTTTAATTTGTTATAAACTCTTGAACATTATTTATTCTTTCTAAAAATTATTGTGTAACAGCCTCATCGTTTTTACTAAACTCTTCTTTAATTTCATCGAAGGTAATTCTAAATTATTCATTTTAGATTCTAATCTTTTCATTAGTTTAATTGAGGGCTTCTTCATCATTCGAATTTTTCTCATTAAAATTATCCTTAAGTGAGCTAAGCTCAAAGAGTAAATCTTCATGTATTCGTTTAAGCTTAGATGTGTTCTCATTTCGCTCTACATCCATCATAACTTTAAGCTGGGCTAATATATCCAATTTATTTTAATTCATATTCTTGGATATCAGATCTATCTTCTCTACAGTATAATGCCTTATATTCTTTTTAGTAACGATCAGATTCTCACCCTCATATGTATTCTCTGTAACGATCAGAAAACTCTCCATCAAATCATTTCTCATCTTCTCATTCATTTTAAGAATGTTCATCTTCATACTTTCAAAGTCATTTTTCATCTAAGTACATTGCTTATTGACTTGCTTTTGCATTTCATCAATATCTGTGGTTTGCTAATCAAGCTGCTGTTGAATTTTGAAATTCTCCTATGTCTGTGCTTTCTTGTTATTTAATACTTACGTAGCAATATGCTCTGATCTAGCGTCGAATGTGGTCTCCATTTTCTTTATCTTATCATTAAGAGTGCTCTTTAATGTCTCAATTGCATTTGATAGCATGTCAGATCCCTCTCTTTATCTTCTTTCTAACTTATTAAACATATTTTGTAGTTTCACAAATTACTCGTTAACATAGGCATTTTTCTCCCACTAATCGACGTCTTTGCTTACAAGATATTCCTGCATAATCTTAATTGCTTTGACAACACAATAAGGTATATTATTCCAAGCATCAGGTGTTATCTCATTTAGAGGATGCTTTTCCAGGTATTCATCGATCATTTCAGGCGTTATCTGGAGCAATTGATCGATGTCGAGGGGACTTATCACAGATAGTTCTTCATTTAAAACTGACTTCATCGGACTCTGATTCATCAAAATTTTAGAGTCAAAATTCATCATTGATACCTGTCAAGACTTCTGGTTGTAATTTATATCTTTAAGTTCAGTTCCTGGTTATCTAGCAGATCTGAACATCTGAGTATCTGGACTCCCATCCATATTTACACTCACTTCTCTTCTTTGATGTATCTCTGACACTTTCATCTGAAAATACTTTTATAGTGAGGACTTCATATCTGTAGTGCCAAATTACATTTTCTACTCTCTATCCTCTTCGTTATTTGTGTTAGGACTATTTATTTGATTTGAATGAATAGTTTCTGAGAAGGGCATTATGATCTCTTCTGGATCGAAATACATGATTAAGAATTATTTATTTTATAAATGATAGTTGTAGTTTTCGATTTAATCCATTATGAATTTCCATACTCTACTAAGTTACAATTTTTCATTACGGGGTTTTGGGGTTTTGGGGTTTTGGGG